AATATCTACAGTGGCAGCGACCATCAACCGCAGACATATTTGAACAACGCTGCGCCACCGCCGCCGCCGCCGCCAACACACTACAACAATGAAACGCCGTTGTCGCCGCCCTCGTATCGCGCAAGTCCGGGACCGATATTTATGAATCATCACAATAATACCATACACCAGAACAATGCAAATTTGCGTACACAGAACCAGCATGCCAATAATTTGCATTCGTTGCCGGAGGGCGCAGTTCCACCGCCCACACTGAACAATCAGGTGCCACCGGGCAATCGCGCAAACAACTACTGGGATAACTTCCGAAGGTAAAGCGCCATACTAAATATAATAATATGGTGTCGGGTTCTTTCTTATGGATTAGCCAGTTATTCATTTATTCTCTATTGATTTCTAAGAATTGGGAACCAAAGAGCTGTTAATTTAAAATCTTTTCCAAAGTAATAAAAAGAAATATAGAACGAAGTGCCTCGACCAAAAATGCTACGAACAATTTTCATTTATTTTTAAAAACATTTTCCAAAGTATATTCAATAAGTAAGTAGTGAGAAGAGAATATTCACGTGCATTCTGATTATGCCCAAAGCGCTTTATAACTGAGCTAACTAACTATTTTGGTTATTTATTTTTTTTTTTTTTTTTTTTTAATACTAAAACATTTGTTCAAGTGTTTGCAATACTAAATATATAATAAATCAACTCAGTAAAACCAATTGTCTGGTTAGAATTGATAAATTTAACATTTTTGTGCAAACATGTTTGTAAGAAATTTATGAATGTTCAAAATTTAGAGAATTGTTAACCAGAACAGAACTATTGTACTAAAACATTTTTCATTTTTGCATATTTAAAATTGTTGCTCGCTTTTATTAACCCATTAATATTTGTGCGCTTTGCAGCTATACGCGTCAGAATTTGCTATCTAACAAAAGCAATGAGGAACTCAATGTGGAGCATCAATATCGTCAAATACAGCGACAACGCCAGCGTCCCAGTTACTTTCATCTACCACACACCGCACGCAGTGGCCCAAGCAGCTTATTACTACAGCAGCAGCAACAGCAACAACAACAACAACAGCAACAGCAGCAGCAACAGGCACAAACACATCGCCACTTTTATGAGGCGTCACCACAGCAGCATCTGCACAACAGCAGCAACAGCAACAACTTGAACAACAGCAACAGCAGCAATCGCGATTGGCGCAACAATGCCCACGAGGAGGACGATGTCGAGGATGATGATAATAATGATACTGCTATGTACGGCAGACGACGCAATCGTCGTCGTCAGATGCCTACGCTGCGTGACGAAGAGACTGCCTTGCAGGAGCTTGCTAGCTCCGGATCATCTAACTTTTTCAACATGAATGTGAATAGTCCACTCTATCAGCGCAATAAGGTTCCAGCTAAGCCAACTACGTCGGCTGTTTCTCTAACGCCTTTGCAGCAACGTCATCTGAGATTTGATTTCGAGCTGCCTGCTCAATACATGGACTACGATCTGCCGGTGCCGCCAGCCTTGCAGGCACCGCCAGACGCTCCTTTATACAATGTTACAGGACAGGAGTCCGTTGTCCCGGATGAATCCAATGCGATGCTGGAGCAAACAGAGGAGACGGCTTCGGAGGAGTTAAACCGTAATTTGCTAGTGAATGCATTGAAAAATGATAAATTTACCACAAAATTTTACGAGTCCATCAAGGAGGATGTGTATAGAAGATTAGAAACTCTTTTCGAGCAGCAACAACAACAGCAGCAGCAACATCAGCAGCAGATGCAACAACAACAAGGCGAACAACAACTTTATAACGAAGTGCATAGTCTGCGCAAGACGCTCAATCAGGGGCAGGTACCCAGTGCCCAGCCGGCCGAGAATGGAACTGTTAGTGAGCTAACGGAGGCCACGGAAAGTGGCAATGAATCGTTGCAGGAACAGCTTGCTAACGACAGGCCCGAGGATGAGAACAGCTTGCCAATGCAGGCAGTGCCAGCAGCAGCAGCTGCAGCTGGATCAGCATCAGTGGAGGAACATTCAGAAGCAGCTGCTGGACCTGCGCCCTTGGATAACGAAGATGTAAGTAGTTCTTGTTAATGCATTGCTGCAGCAGGTCAAACCACGTTCCACTTTTACTTTAAGCAAATAATTGAGGTGGTCATTGAACGAGCCGCCACGCCTGCGGCCAGCATGGAGCTGTCACCCGACCACGAGCTTATTGAGTACATAATCAAACGCATACGCAACCAGACGCATAACAATACCATCATCAATGATTCGCTGTTGGCAGAGGTTTCCAAGCTGACTGCCAATGCGGCTCAAAACTCCGCAGCCAGCTGGACGCCAAATGCCGCCTCGCCGCTCATCTCGCCCAAACGCATCTATGCAAAGATCAAGAAGATGGAAATGCCGCGACAGCGCGATGAGTTTTTGCTCTGGTATCGCTCATATCTGGAGCAGCTTTTTGTGGTCGAGCAGCCGAGCACTGGCAGCACGCCCAAAGTCAAGAGTAAGGAGGAAAGAGTTGCCCCGGCGAGCAACAAAAAACAGGTCAATAAACGAATGCGTGCCCAGTCGCATTCGCAGGATTCCAACAATGATGCAGACTTAGCCGAGGCAGATCAGAAAAAGGTTACGTTAAATGGCGGCGACACGGAATGCGAGAATAATGAGAACCCCGACGAGGAGGCCAGCGCAGCTGCAGCTCAAGAAACGCAGAATATCAGCTTAGATTAAAATAAGTTAGTTAGCTAGTCCTGTAGGTGACACATCCAAGCAACATTCCCAACCATTCCCGTATACACCAGCATATATATCTATATATATATACATATACCATACATATGACATACCCACATATACATACAAAATTAGTTACTAGCTGCATCAAGTAGCCTGTTTTTCGACTTGTCTTTTCGGTTTTTTTTTAAATGTCTAGTTTGTATTAAATTATATACTTATTATATATGTAAAACTCAAAAGGGGAGACAATTTTTTTGTGATGCAGCTGCTGGAGAGAAGACTATCCAAATTCGATATAAAATTCAAGTAGCGGGCGAACCGAAAAAATATCATGGGTACTGCTCCAGAAATGGTACGGTTGTTCTTTTATATTTGACTGGCTTAGAAATGTAACAAAAATTTATAAATTTACAGATAACGATGAAATTTAACACTGACTCCCAACTATTTTAGTTCATCTGATTTCTTTGTGAGCTGCTCCAGCATACGATAGTAACAATAGCGACTGTCGTATTCCATATCATACCAAAAATTCACAGCAATGCACTTGTGACTCTGCCGTACGTGGTGGAACCAATAGTTGGGCAGATAGAGCACGTCGCCTGCATGAACGCGTACACGCAAAGGACGCGCTTTCGCATATTGTGGGTATGTGCCGAGGTCAGGTGCCAATGGATCAATGCTGACCCATTCAGTCTGTTGTACTTCGCCATTATCAATTAAGGGCTCTATAAAAAACTGGCCACATGATTTGCGCTTGTAGATGCCAGTTGGATAACTGCGACGTGGTACACAGCAGAGCTGGTGCGGTGGTAACAATATGAAATCTTTGTAGCCCGAAATAACGCAGTACAAGTTCTCATAGGGATCCTTATGCATGGAGGTAATGGCACGCTCGTCGCCCAGCCAAAAGTTGACGGCATCAGGGGGCTTATTAAAGCACTGTGCTGCAAAGTTCAAATCACTGGACACAATATCGCCGGCTAGTTCCGGAAAGTCTAGGCTGAAGTTGGAATTTTGCTTTTGTATGTAGTGCACGGCACCCATGGGGTCATCCAGGCGCTGCAATAGCTCAGATAATGGCATTTGTGTTTCCAGCGGTAGCACAAAATACTCCTTGCCAGCCTGGGTGGCAAGACCGTCAGCATAACCATTGGGCGTGACAGCCACATCCACAACCTTGTCATTCAGTGCAGTCTGCAAATAGTCCGGCGACCACTTCTGGACTGCAGGCCAATGGGCCACTGCCTGGCGTATGACTACGGGTGCATTTCTGGCATAGTAGTCGCGTGCAAACTCCAATGCGCTGGGCATCTGCTGCAGCTCCGATATTTGTCCACCAATGCATAGCTCTTCGGCTTCCTGGAGCAGCAGTTTTATGGCTGTTTCAATTTGAGTCTGAGCCATGCCGGTGCCATGCGCAAACCGATAAATACTCGAAATTATCGATAAGAAAATACTACTTCGATGATGGTCGATTATTTGAAAAACAAACTCCGATTAAATATGTTAAACGGATGCAGTGAGATTTTTAAACGAGAATCGAGAAAAGAATAATATAATAATAATGAAAATGGAAAAATAGAGTTTGTAAATAAATGCTAGGCCATGGGTAATCGATAACACAATATCAATCGATAATTTATTCAGTTGGCAGTCGATACCGTTTGTTCTATACACAGCTGTTTTCAGAGATTCGGCCCAGAAAACATGTTGCTCTTGTAAAGTCAAGGAAAAGTCTAAAGAGTTAAATTAAAAACATTGCCAATATGCAGGAGGTTGACGAGCAGGAGTTCAACTGCATTGACGAGGCGAATGCCATCATAAACGATGTCAAGGCGCATGTGGCTGAAATAGCAATATCGTCCAAGCTGGTCAGCAGTGCCACGCAGATTTATCTTAACATTCGCACCATAGAGAGTGCCACCTGCTGCGTAGAAGTGACTAATCGAGGATTTAAAATAGTCTCCTCACAATACGACACCATCGATGAAGACAAGGCACTAAGGTCGGAAGTGTTGGAGAATGGCGACGTGGAGCCGGCCGAGGAGGAGATATTTGAGACGCCCTATGCACTGCTAGACAAGATTAGTCCACGCTATGTGGAATCTTTTGGCAATAAGCTGTGTCAGCAGCTGCGGCAACTACAGCAAATGCGCACTGAATTCCATGAAGAGGACGAAGAGGAGGAGGAGGAGGAGGACGAGTAACTGAAAGGCACTCTCCGAAAGAACAACTTCAAATTGAGGCTGTACTCATTAAACACAAGATTTTAATGTTAGTTTATTTATGTATTTTATGTACTCGTAACCGTGAAAGTATTTCGGATCGTGTAACAACCCAAAATCGAACCAGTTTAGACTTTTAAGCGTTTCAAGAATAAAGATTGTGATTGCAATTCCAAATCAGTTAGTTTTCGCACTGTTGGCCCTAACTGCTCCACATGATCCTCGTAGCCTGTGCCCATGTTGAGATTCTTCTGGCCGTAGACCACCTTGCCATCGAAATCATTGACCGGCACATCCAAAGACTTGTCCACCTGCTGAATGGTTATGTTCAGGTGGTCTTCCACCTCGGCCAGCAAATTTAGTTCATTGTACCAGATGCAACAGCCACGCACATCGGTTAAATTTGTGTTATGACAGTTGCGTCCACGAGTCTTGCACCACTCGCCATGGTACCATACCTTCTCTGGCACCGTAGACACCAGACTAATTGCAAGGCCCATACGCTCGGCGCGACCTACGCGGCCAATCCGGTGGACATAGTTGGATTTATCGTCCGGCAGTGTTATATTGATCACTGCAAGGTTGGGGAAGTTGAGAGTGTTTTCAGATAAATACTTTTAAGTCCTTACTGAATGGCAATCCCGTGATGTCCAGTCCGCGTGCGGCTACATCTGTGCAGATGAGAAACTTGACTTGCTGGCGCTTGAACATTTCCAGATTCTGTTTGCGCTCTTGTGGCTTGCGATCACCATGCAGGCAAACGCACGAGTATCGTTGACCTCCACGCTGGCTTAGATGCTGTTCCAAATTGTCGCAGTCTTGTTTGGTGCGGCAGAAGATGATGGCGCGATCCATTTTATGCTGATCAATGGCCCGAATGCAGTACTCGCCCTTGAGAAGCTTAACAGCCTGCGAAAACGTCTCTGGAGATTGGTTTGTGGGATGCACATTATCGTGATCGTGTACACCATCAGTGTGTATTGGCTGACGGAGTTGCTGCCAGCTACTGTCTGTATGTGGGTCGACCATGCACACTACATGATGCACTGTCTCAGGGACAGCATCCTCGCCCTTAAGATCCACCCAGGTGGGAAAGTGCATCAAGCGTTCGGCCATCTTCTTCACTTCGAACGCATGCAAGGTGGCCGAGCAGACAATCATCTGCAGGCGGCAGCCATCACTAGTTATCTTTGGTATTTGCTTGTGCAGCCGCTCAATAAGGTCCGTATAGCCCTGTTTAAGCAGCGCATCCGCCTCGTCCAGCACAAAGAAACGACAGTGGGTAAGCTGCACAAAGCCGCTATTGATAAGCTCCTCTAGGCGACCGGGCGTTCCTACCACAATGTGTATTCCTTTCTGCAGTTCCGCTTTTTGCTCCTCCAGACGAACGCCGCCAATGAGCAGCAGCGGGCGTACTTCGGGATTGCTTAGATGCACCTTAAATTTCTCTATCTGATTGAAGGTCTGCTCCGCCAACTCGCGACTGGGTTCAATAATGATGGCCTGTGGCGCATTTGGCGCTGGTTTACTTGCAGCCGTATTGGCTGCGGGGCTTGCCAGTGGATTGGCTGTGCTGTGTTCAGGACCCGCCTGACATACGGCTATATAACCATTGCCTGGTGGATACTTAAAATCTGTTTTGCCGAAGTTAAACAACATCTCGGCATTTTTCAGTACAACAGCTGGATAGAAGGTATCATTGCGAAGATTTTCGGGTATTTTAAATGCCACACCCAAGGACGTGCCGTTCTTGGTGAAGCTGACCTCAAGTCGTTGTAAGTCTAGCATGCAGCCGACCACATCTGCCTTGCCAAAGGCATCTCCATAATCATCAAATTGACGATTGTTTGACTTTTTGCCAGTACCACCAAAGCCAAAGCCATACCGACATGTGCCCAAATCCAAATTGGCCATCTGCGTAGACCAGCCCACACGGCACAAGCCCTCGTCGGTAACTGTCGCTTCGTAATAGAATTTTGCTTTGCCATAGACGCCAGTGGTGGCCCGACAGCCGTGCCATTCCTTAAATTCGCGAGATTGGCAGCGCAAGCCATCCGGAGTTACGGCCAGTGCATTATTTCGATCGAAAAAGGACATAGTCCAAGGGGCTGCAGCTCCCGCTGTCCCGTTGCCAGTTTTACTCGACTTACCCGCTTGCAAATCGCGAATTGTTTCCCACACAATTTGAAGAATGGGCAAACAGAAGGCGCCCGTCTTGCCCGAGCCTGTTTCAGCAGCCATTAAAACATCGCCCCCGCCCAGTATAAGTGGAATGGCCTCTGCCTGCACGTCAGTGGGTAAACTTAACAGAAAAAACACGTATTTTCGCAGAAACCTGATGTAATTGTTAAATTTATAGCTAACTTACGTCCAGTCTAATTCATCGGTCGCTTTGCCCAGTTCTGGCAGCACACCAAACTCTGCGAAGGCATTTGAGAAATATTAAGGATTTCAAAGGATATTTAAAAAGTGAATTAATCTATAGACTTGCCTTCAAATGCAGTCATTTCTCTTTTATTCACTTATTTTTAACTATTTCTTTTTATCTCTGCACTCGCGAGACCGGCTACAATATTTTCACCAAAGTACTCAATTGACATTCACCATGTACTCAGTTCAGCAGGGTACGCTAACTCTTGACAGCAAGGGCAAGGGAAGCTATGTATGTTCCTTGTTCTCTACGCAAAGATCATAGTTGCTGCCCATAAAAAAACAATTTAAGGAATTGCCATGGGACTACGAATAATTATTCGTTATTCATAGCATCAAATACGTAATATTTGCCTTATATGAAACAATAAATATATCATTGCTTATATGTGCGATTAGCATACTATCCTAAAAGAGTTGCCAACCTTTCCAGGGAGACGTATTTGATGTGTTGCAGAACGACAGCTTAACAGCTGTGATTTTAAGTCGTTATGCAACACTTATATTTGTATACGCGTAAATCGTAGTGATTTTTTTGATTAAATTATGGCAACTGTTTTGTTAAAGTGCTAATTAGTCAATAGACATGTAAATTTTGTCGTGTAATTTATAGTAACTAAAGTGTGAGTACTTAAGATTGTTAATTTGCTGGCAAATTATAACAAGATTGCCTTTTTTTCTGAAAAAAAACAGCAATTTGCTCGCTGGAGAGAGGATGTACTTTCCTTTGGGCTGGCCCAAGCGCGTCAGCTTGGCGCTGCCTGGCGAAGCGACTCACATACGTCACATAAGCTGTGATGCTGTCAAAATACTCGTCGCCGCCGTTGACTCGGATATTCTGGGGATTTGGTATGCGAACCCTCTGCTGCCCATTGCTTACTATCGGCGCAGCGCCGAATCTCTGCAGGAGTTTGGCAGCAATCAATTGATCATATGGAAGCCTGACTCCAGACAACTGGCCGTGTTAACTGACGCCGGCGCATTGCTGTTGTATCAATTGGACTTTGATGCCAATGGTAGTGGGATACTAATGCAGGTAGATCCGCCTGCATTGAGTCTGAAAAGAGATTCAGCTGAGCTGTTCATCAAGGAAAACATTCCCCGCCTGAGTCTGCGCGAGGTGCGTTGCTTAAAGCTAGACGCTGTCATCTCCACCGTGTGCTGCATCAGTCTGAGTGAGCTGCTTTTGGCTACGGAAACATGTGAGCTACTGCGTCTGCAGTGGTCACAGCTGGAAACAGTAACAGAGGAGCTAAAACCGTTGGCTGTCATTAAACTCCGCGACATTCCGTTCTATGTGCAGCAACAGCAGCAGCAACCTGCTAAATATTTACCGACCATGGGTAACTCGGCCTTTGTGGCTTGTCTGGAGTATTCACCCTTTATTGGCGGCTGTGCGGCCGTATTCAGTGACCAGCGTGCGGCGTTTCTGGTAGCGGATCATCTGCGTTTCGAGACGGCACACATGCACGGCTGCTGGGTGCCAGATGTTGCGGATGCTAGTGTCTGCAGCGTGAACCATAAGTTTCGACTGTTGGCCTACGGACAGCAGAGCTCAGCGGTGGCTGTGTACGCAATAGACGATGCTACGGCCGGCTTGGAGTACTCACACAGACTCGTGTTGACGGAGAATGTGCCGCCTGGCAGTTTGGGCGCTGTTAACGAGCTCAAGTGGAGTCCTGATGGTTGTGTGCTTGCTGTGAGCTGGGCGAATGGCGGCTTGTCACTGTGGAGCACCTTTGGCTCACTTCTGATGTCTACCTTGAGCTGGGACTTTGGACTACATGTGGACTTGGTTAAGCATAATCCGTTGCAGCTGCGTCGCTTGGAATGGTCCACCGAGGGCTATCACCTGTTTATGACCTGTCGCGAGGGCGAGGACAATGTTCTCCAGTTGCAGTTCGTGAAGAGCGCCTTGAGCATGAATCCCTGCATGAGCGCACATTCGCATATTCTGCTTCAAGGCGACGATTGCTTGTACATCAATCAGGGAGATAATTTGGAGCAGACCTATGGCAATGCCAAGTGCACATTTCCCAGCAGCTCAGCTGGCCAGAACGACGACTGTCTGGAACTCAAGCAGAGCCCGAATATGGGCAGCATTTTAACGGAAAGTAAATACTGGACGCTGCTGCAGCTGCCTCTCAATTACGCAGCAACCAATTGGCCAATACGCTATGCAGCCATAGACGCAGCTGGCTTACATGTCGCCGTAGCGGGACGCACCGGATTGGCACACTATTCGATGCTCAGCAAGAAGTGGAAGCTGTTTGGCAACGAGTCGCAGGAGAAGGACTTTGTGGTATCCGGTGGCCTTCTCTGGTGGCAGGGCTTCATTGTCATGGGCTGCTATTCTCTGCTGGATCGCACGGATGAGTTGCGCTGCTATCCCGCCGAATGCAAGCTGGATAATCAGTACGGACACAAGTTACAGGTGCGCGCCCCTGTCATCAGCCTGAATGTGTTCAGGGATCAATTGATTGTGCTCACGGCTGACGGCATAGTCAGCCTCTTCCATATGTACAGACAGTCGGCGTATATCATAAACATCGATTGCGCCTATGAGCTAGACGTAAAGAGCATTTGCATACATCCTGCTTGCATTGTAAGCCTCACAGTTACCAATCTCAGGAACGAGCTGAAGCCACAGCAGCAGCAGGCTGAGGCAGAGACGATTGTGGTCAATGTTTGTGGACGCGTTCTGATGATCCAAAGGGATGAGGCGGCACAACAGGTGCCCAATACGCTGCTTGCCACCTGTTTGGCCAGCTGTGTGGAATGCTTCTGGCTCTCCCACAATCTGGAGCACTGTGCGATGCGCGATTGCCTCTGGCTGTACTCTGGTGCGCACGGCATGCGCGTCTGGCTGCCCATTTTGCAGCAGCGCTCGGAGCAGAGCGGCCCACAGCGTCTGCACAGTTTCATGTCCAAACGCATAATGCTTAGCTTTCCGCTAAAGCTCTACCCGCTGGTCATACTCTTCGACAATGTGATTGTTTTGGGCGTGGAGAACGAGAGCGCTTTGTACACGAATGAGGCGAACTCGCATTTTGCCTTACCTTTTGCTATAATGGAACGCAAATCGCAGGTGTATCTGCACAAGGTGCTCAGGCAGTTAATCAAACGCAACCTGGGCTATTCGGCCTGGGAGATTGCGCAGTCTTGCCGTAGTCTGCCCTACTTTCCGCATGCCCTGGAACTGCTGCTCCATGAAGTGCTGGAGGAGGAGGCTAGCAGCAAACTACCCATACCTGATGCACAGTTGCCCAGCATCTTGGATTTTATACGCGAATTTCCTGTCTATCTACAGACAATTGTGCAATGTGCGCGTAAAACAGAAATTGCACTCTGGCCCTATCTGTTCAGCATGGCGGGCAAGCCCAAGGAGTTGTTCCATTTGTGCCTGCAGGCGGAGCAGCTGGAAACGGCGGCCAGTTATTTAATCATTATACAGAATCTTGAGCCCTCCTCAGTGAGCAAACAGCATGCAAATATGCTGCTGGATATCGCATTGAATCAACGAAAATGGGAGCTTGCCAAGGATCTTATACGCTTCCTTAAAGCCATTGATCCGAATGAGATTGATTCGCCGCGTTGCTCCATGGTATTGAATGTGAAAATCGCGCCACCTCAGCCACAGACCCAAGCGCAGGTCAATCCAAATGCGGATGCCTTCAACTTGGTGCTTGGACCCATTGCGACGCGGGAGCGCAGCTATTCCACCACAGTCACCAGCAACTTGCCCAAGGACAACAAACAGCAGAGCATGGCCGCATCTGTGGAGCGTAGCGAGGCGGCCAGCGGCGGCGGCGCTGGCAGCAACACCGGCGCAGCGACTGTTATCCGTCGAAGATCCACCAAGGAGCGGCAACAGCGTGAAATCTTTTGCATCGATCTTATACTGCAGCGGCATGCGCGGCAGCTGCTGCAGCAGCATAAGCTGCTGGACCTGGGCTATATGGGCGCCTATCTGGACTTCCATCTGGTCAGCTGGCTTACGCAGGAGTCCACAGGTGCCGCCAGGCTGGATAATTTTGCAGCGGCACTGCAAGCGTTACACTCCGAGCTGCAGTTGCCCAGTCCGTTTCCGGCTGCGGGGCGTGATGATTTTGCGCAGCTCCGCAGCACGAATCGGCAGGGGGCCGGCGGAGCTGGTGGCTCATCATCGCAAACTTCAGAGTCGGGCTACTTTAGTCTGGCCGCGCAGCTGGAGTCGCCGCAGTTGCAGCCCTGCATCAAGGAGCAGGAGGAGCTGCAGCACAGTTCTCTGCCCGTTATGAAGAATCGTTCCAATTCACAGCTATCGTTTGATAACTTTCGCTATCGACGCCTCTACTCGCTACCCGCCTCGGAGGATGACAACAGCGATGTGGTGGCCAGCTATCTAAACGACAAGTTGGCCATTAAGATGCGCTATTTGCTGCAGCTATTCATCGAGGCCAATTGCACGGACTATGCGCTCATGCTGTCTATATTGCTGCAGGATGCGGCCTCCATATCGCGCATTGTCAATGTTGTCATACGCAGCGAGTCCGTGGGCGCTTGCAGACGCATTGAGGCCGCCCTCAAGCAACTCAGCCAGTGCACATTCGACAACGGCGGCTCCATGTATCGGGGCTTTGTGATGACCCTGCAGCCGCACATTTACCTGCTGGAACAGTACATCCAATCGCTGGGTGAGACGCCGGTGCACGATAGCATTGACGATGGTAATGAATTGGGCGGCGATTCGTCGTCTGGCCTGGAGAGCGATGCTTTGGATGGATCGAACAATAACTTTGTGCCAAAATGCCAGCAAATGCCAAATGGCAATCAGCGGTCGTCAGAGCAGCGTCTGACGCGGCATGCCAGCCTCGAATCCAAATCAAAATCCAATGGCAATCCGACGAATACTTCCTCAACGCAGTCCACGCCCACACAGCACGCGCAGCGGCGTGCCAGTCGAGAGGGTCCGCGGGATGGCTGTGGGATCATGTAAACACAGACGCAGTACGCATACGGATATAGAATTAACATACTCAGTGAGTGTACGTAATTGGTGTGTTAGGTGAGGGACGATATGTGTTTGTTGCATGTTGCTGTACATTGCATATGTAGTTGTCGTTAAAAGATTTGTTAATTGTTAGCCGAACTCTTACAGGAACACACACAACGAAACGAGCATCGTTGAAGGCAAATACTTGTATTAAGATACGTAAATGTAATTATTCATAAATTAATAGATGAAATTTGCTGCAATATTTGTTAATTAAAAATTTACAAAAATCTATACATAATTATACAAAAATAAATATATTTTTATTAATAACTCTGGCCATGCATTATTTTTCATGCTAGGCAACTGTTTCTATCGATCTTGGGGTAAGATTTAGACATGAATTTCGACTAAAAAATCGGTGATTTTAATGCCAGATTATTCTAGAGGGAAAACCATGAACAAAAAGCCCAACTTCGTAAAAATCGGATGAGATTTGGCCGAGTTATGAGGTTGGTAAATTTTGACCCATGTCTATATACGAATCTTGGGGTAAGATTTAGACATGAATTTCGACTAAAAAATCGGTGTTGGGATTTTAATGCCAGATTATTCTAGAGGGAAAACCATGAACAAAAAGCCCAACTTCGTAAAAATCGGATGAGATTTGGCCGAGTTATGAGGTTGGTAAATTTTGACCCATGTCTATATACGAATCTTGGGGTAAGATTTAGACATGAATTTCGACTAAAAAATCGGTGTTGGGATTTTAATGCCAGATTATTCTAGAGGGAAAACCATGAACAAAAAGCCCAACTTCGTAAAAATCGGATGAGATTTGGCCGAGTTATGAGGTTGGTAAATTTTGACCCATGTCTATATACGAATCTTGGGGTAAGATTTAGACATGAATTTCGACTAAAAAATCGGTGTTGAGATTTTAATGCCAGATTATTCTAGAGGGAAAACCATGAACAAAAAGCCCAACTTCGTAAAAATCGGATGAGATTTGGCCGAGTTATGAGGTTGGTAAATTTTGACCCATGTCTATATACGAATCTTGGGGTAAGATTTAGACATGAATTTCGACTAAAAAATCGGTGTTGAGATTTTAATGCCAGATTATTCTAGAGGGAAAACCATGAACAAAAAGACCAACTTCGTAAAAATCGGATGAGATTTGGCCGAGTTATGAGGTTGGTAAATTTTGACCCATGTCTATATACGAATCTTGGGGTAAGATTTAGACATGAATTTCGACTAAAAAATCGGTGTTGAGATTTTAATGCCAGATTATTCTAGAGGGAAAACCATGAACAAAAAGCCCAACCTCGTAAAAATCGGATGAGTTTTGGCCGAGTTATGGGGTTGGTAAATTTTGACCCATGTCTATATACGAATCTTGGGGTAAGATTTAGACATGAATTTCGACTAAAAAATCGGTGTTGAGATTTTAATGCCAGATTATTCTAGAGGGAAAACCATGAACAAAAAGCCCAACCTTGTAAAAATCGGATGAGATTTGGCCGAGTTATGGGGTTGGTACATTTTGACCCATGTCTATATACGAATCTTGGGGTAAGATTTAGACATGAATTTCGACTAAAAAATCGGTGTTGAGATTTTAATGCCAGATTATTCTAGAGGGAAAACCATGAACAAAAAGCCCAACCTTGTAAAAATCGGTTGAGTTTTGGCCGAGTTATGGGGGTGGTAAATTTTGACCCATGTCTATTTACGAATCTTGGGATAAGATTTAGACATGAATTTCGACTAAAAAATAGGTGTTGAGATTTTAATGCCAGATTATTCTAGAGGGAAAACCATGGACAAAAAGCCCAACCTCGTAAAAATCGGTTGAGTTTTGGCCGAGTTATGGGGGTGGTAAATTTTGACCCATGTCTATATACGAATCTTGGGGTAAGATTTAGACATGAATTTCGACTAAAAAATCGGTGTTGAGATTTTAATGCCAGATTATGCTAGCGGGAAAACCATGGACAAAAAGCCCAGCCTCGTAAAAATCGGATGAGATTTGGCCGAGTTATGGGGTTGGTAAATTTTGACCCATGTCTATATACGAATCTTGGGGTAAGATTTAGACATGAATTTCGACTAAAAAATCGGTGTTGAGATTTTAATGCCAGATTATTCTAGAGGGAAAACCATGAACAAAAAGCCCAACTTCGTAAAAATCGGATGAGATTTGGCCGAGTTATGAGGTTGGTAAATTTTGACCCATGTCTATATACGAATCTTGGGGTAAGATTTAGACATGAATTTCGAATAAAAAATCGGTGTTGAGATTTTAATGCCAGATTATTCTAGAGGGAAAACCATGAACAAAAAGCCCAACTTCGTAAAAATCGGATGAGATTTGGCCGAGTTATGAGGTTGGTAAATTTTGACCCATGTCTATATACGAATCTTGGGGTAAGATTTAGACATGAATTTCGACTAAAAAATCGGTGTTGAGATTTTAATGCCAGATTATTCTAGAGGGAAAACCATGAACAAAAAGCCCAACCTTGTAAAAATCGGTTGAGTTTTGGCCGAGTTATGGGGGTGGTAAATTTTGACCCATGTCTATATACGAATCTTGGGATAAGATTTAGACATGAATTTCGACTAAAAAATCGGTGTTGAGATTTTAATGCCAGATTATTCTAGAGGGAAAACCATGAACAAAAAGCCCAACCTCGTAAAAATCGGATGAGTTTTGGCCGAGTTATGGGGTTGGTAAATTTTGACCCATGTCTATATACGAATCTTGGGGTAAGATTTAGACATGAATTTCGACTAAAAAATCGGTGTTGAGATTTTAATGCCAGATTATTCTAGAGGTAAAACCATGAACAAAAAGCCCAACCTTGTAAAAATCGGATGAGATTTGGCCGAGTTATGGGGTTGGTACATTTTGACCCATGTCTATATACGAATCTTGGGGTAAGATTTAGACATGAATTTCGACTAAAAAATCGGTGTTGAGATTTTAATGCCAGATTATTCTAGAGGGAAAACCATGAACAAAAAGCCCAACCTTGTAAAAATCGGTTGAGTTTTGGCCGAGTTATGGGGGTGGTAAATTTTGACCCATGTCTATTTACGAATCTTGGGATAAGATTTAGACATGAATTTCGACTAAAAAATCGGTGTTGAGATTTTAATGCCAGATTATTCTAGAGGGAAAACCATGGACAAAAAGCCCAACCTCGTAAAAATCGGATGAGTTTTGGCCGAGTTATGGGGTTGGTAAATTTTGACCCATGTCTATATACGAATCTTGGGGTAAGATTTAGACATGAATTTCGACTAAAAAATCGGTGTTGAGATTTTAATGCCAGATTATTCTAGAGGGAAAACCATGAACAAAAAGCCCAACCTTGTAAAAATCGGTTGAGTTTTGGCCGAGTTATGGGGGTGGTAAATTTTGACCCATGTCTATTTACGAATCTTGGGATAAGATTTAGACATGAATTTCGACTAAAAAATCGGTGTTGAGATTTTAATGCCAGATTATTCTAGAGGGAAAACCATGGACAAAAAGCCCAACCTCGTAAAAATCGGATGAGTTTTGGCCGAGTTATGGGGTTGGTAAATTTTGACCCATGTCTATATACGAATCTTGGGGTAAGATTTAGACATGAATTTCGACTAAAAAATCGGTGTTGAGATTTTAATGCCAGATTATTCTAGAGGGAAAACCATGAACAAAAAGCCCAACCTCGTAAAAATCGGTTGAGTTTTGGCCGAGTTATGGGGGTGGTAAATTTTGACCCATGTCTATTTACGAATCTTGGGATAAGATTTAGACATGAATTTCGACTAAAAAATCGGTGTTGAGATTTTAATGCCAGATTATTCTAGAGGGAAAACCATGAACAAAAAGCCCAACCTTGTAAAAATCGGATGAGATTTGGCCGAGTTATGGGGTTGGTAAATTTTGACCCATGTCTATATACGAATCTTGGGGTAAGATTTAGACATGAATTTCGACTAAAAAATCGGTGTTGAGATTTTAATGCCAGATTATTCTAGCGGGAAAACCATGGACAAAAAGCCCAGCCTCGTAAAAATCGGATGAGATTTGGCCGAGTTATGGGGTTGGTAAATTTTGACCCATGTCTATATACGAATCTTGGGGTAAGATTTAGACATGAATTTCGACTAAAAAATCGGTGTTGAGATTTTAATGCCAGATTATTCTAGAGGGAAAACCATGAACAAAAAGCCCAACCTTGTAAAAATCGGTTGAGTTTTGGCCGAGTTATGGGGGTGGTAAATTTTGACCCATGTCTATTTACGAATCTTGGGATAAGATTTAGACATGAATTTCGACTAAAAAATCGGTGTTGAGATTTTAATGCCAGATTATTCTAGAGGGAAAACCATGAACAAAAAGCCCAACCTCGTAAAAATCGGATGAGTTTTGGCCAAGTTATGGGGGTGGTAAATTTTGACCCATGTCTATTTACGAATCTGGGGATAAGATTTAGACATGAATTTCGACTAAAAAATCGGTGTTGAGATTTTAATGCCAGATTATTCTAGAGGGAAAACCATGAACAAAAAGCCCAACCTTGTAAAAATCGGTTGAGTATTGGCCGAGTTATGGGGGTGGTAAATTTTGACCCATGTCTATTTACGAATCTTGGGATAAGATTTAGACATGAATTTCGACTAAAAAATCGGTGTTGAGATTTTAATGCCAGATTATTCTAGAGGGAAAACCATGAACAAAAAGCCCAACCTTGTAAAAATCGGATGAGATTTGGCCGAGTTATGGGGTTGGTAAATTTTGACCCATGTCTATATACGAATCTTGGGGTAAGATTTAGACATGAATTTCGACTAAAAAATCGGTGTTGAGATTTTAATGCCAGATTATTCTAGAGGGAAAACCATGAACAAAAAGCCCAACCTTGTAAAAATCGGATGAGATTTGGCCGAGTTATGGGGTTGGTAAATTTTGACCCATGTCTATATACGAATCTTGGGGTAAGATTTAGACATGAATTTCGACTAAAAAATCGGTGTTGAGATTTTAATGCCAGATTATTCTAGCGGGAAAACCATGGACAAAAAGCCCAGCCTCGTAAAAATCGGATGAGATTTGGCCGAGTTATGGGGTTGGTAAATTTTGACCCATGTCTATATACGAATCTTGGGGTAAGATTTAGACATGAATTTCGACTAAAAAATCGGTGTTGAGATTTTAATGCCAGATTATTCTAGAGGGAAAAC